TTGATACAATAGACATATTCATCATTTGAAACTCAGGAAGGCTCAAAGCAAATTCTATCAATGTAAAGAAGAGGAATGATTCTCTCTGAAGAAGCAAATATAGAAACCAAATGGAAAAATCATTTCATGGAAAGCGAGTTTCAGTATCATTTATCTTTGGGTCCCAATCCCTTCAGAATAATTCTCCTAAGCAAAGGCAGAAAACTTCTAAACCCACCTGTGGGAAAATTGACCAAAATGAACACTAAAGAAGACCAGATACTAATTAAGAAAAACGAATCATCTGAAAAGACTTGAGAAAGAACCTACTTAGACGAAGGCTGAGACAGTTTGAGATTATCAAAATGGCATTTAAACCACTCCACCCCTGCCTCTATGTATTAAATAATTGGAAAACCATAATAATTCTGGAAGAGAGTATCTCTCAATAATACAGTTAAAAGAACACTGGTCTAGAAGACAAATGGCCTAGTTCAAAAATCTATATATCCCTTATTAGTTAGGCAACTTCACACTTTATTAAACGGGGATAAGAATTCCATTTATACATTACAGGATTAGCATGAGGATCAAATAAGACTGTGTGTGTGTGTGTGTGTGTGTGTGTGTGTATGAAAGTACATCTTGCAAATGTTTAATCATTATTTCATATTTTCTTTGCATAACTGATGACAATCTCATCTTAGTTCTTTTCCTGATTCTACAAACTGATAGTTTTAATATTAACACTCTCCAGTCACTATTTGCATTTTTTTCAACCAAGGTTCAAAACAAGGCATTAATCTTCACTCAATTTAAACCCACACCATGGAAACCTTGGCCACTTTATTTGAATTGAAGGAATGGCAGAATTCCACTCCAGGTGGCTAAGCAATAATAAACAAGGGCTCGCTGTTTCATCACATCCTCACTCACTTTGTGAATAAGTTCTTCTCCAAATTTAGTGGCTAATTTTGGACTTTAAATACTGCTGTATTTTCTCCCCCTGTTACAAAACTTTAAAATACATAAATACTAAGACAAAGAATGTTTTAAAAATTAAGATTCAAGATTTTTAAGGAAAGTTACACCAAGGAGAACAAAATGCATTATTAGGGTATAGCAACTTCGGGGTATTAAACCATTTTCTCTAACCACACAGGCCCAGCGCACACAAATTCTGACACTGAAAAACAAAGCAATTCCCTGATTTCTCAGAACTTCCCATTATGTTCTCTATTTTCATAACAGGCATAATTCTGCTTGTTTTCTTTCATTTTTAAGATTGAACATATGCACACATCAGGTCATCAAATATTTGCTGAATATAAGACATATTTATTTACAATACAACTACAGAACACAAATAAGCTACCAAATTGATGAATAGAACAGCAACCAAAACAGCTCCAGAAAATAGTATAGCATAATACTGTTTAGTTTTGTGACTTGACACATCAGTTTCTGTACAATTTGATTCAATCTTTTTTATTGAGATACAACAAACATAGCATAAAATCCAGCCTTTAAGTATAAAATTCAGCAATTTTTAGTACAGTCACAAGGCTTTGCAACTATCATCACTATCAAACTTCAGAACATTTTCATCACCCCAAAAAGAAACCACTGGCCAATTAGTGATCACTCACCATTCCCACCTCTCCACAGCCTCTGGTAGCCACCTATCTATTTTGAATCTCTGTTTTCATATTTTGGACATTTCATCTAAATGGACTCATACAACATGTGGCTTTTGTTAGTTTGATTAATTCTTATGTTTCATTTGACATGGTTTGTCTTTTTTTTTTCCCTAATTAAAGCATAATCAAGGCAAGGTTACCTCTGCAGGGAAACTACTTTAATATATATGTATATATATATAACATATATACATAAACAAATGCCGACACAAATAAAAAGCAAAAAACTGTATTGTGAGGCTCATCTGAAATAGAGAGATATAGGTACAAAGAATACTACATAAATGAACACACTGTAATTTTGACAAATCTTTACTGCAAAATTTCTAAAAAATATAGTGTGGCTTTTAAAAAGAACCCTGACCAACATTTTGGTATTTTCCTAACTACTAACTTAAATTATTACTGCAAATTTTAGTTATTGTACTTTGCTATTATAAAAAGACACTGAACTACAAAAGGATTTATATATCTATGCAATGAAAATCTGAAAAAAGCCATAGAAAGAAGTATGTAAATAGTTGTGGTATTTAAGTGATGGGAAAATAAGAGATTTTTTAATGTATTTTATTTTTAATTTAAAAATATTATCACTTTTTGAAAGGCATTTTTGAAATAAAGCCAAAAATTTTATGCTTGGTGTTAAAAATGGGCAAAAGCAGGAATTCCCAACTCTTCATGTGAGTTTATGATACTGTCATATCTCAACTAAGTGGACATGATAGGGAAAGATGACACTAATATATCGTTCAGTTAAAAAAAATATAAGTTGCAGAACTATATTTCTAGCCTGATCCTATTCACACAGAAACAAAATACTATCTACTGTGTAGGTATGTGTTTGCATGTATATATTGAAAAGGGTCTGCAAAAACATTCACTAAACTGTTAACTGTGGTTATGCCTGCAGAGTCAGACTAGAAAGGGTAAAGGGACATTCACTTTTTAGTTCATATATTTTCGTATTAAGTGCCTATATAATAACAAGCATGTGCTGTATTTTGTAATTTTTTTAACTATTTAAATGTACCATAAGTTCAGATTATCTTCTTCTAAAAAGGCATAAACATACATCAAATTCAATGCTTTTATGTACCAATTTTTAATTATCCAAACAAAGGTAGAAACCAAAGCAAATGCCAATAGGTTACATCTAGCGTCCAAACACGTAGTAGTTTTTTGCAGCATCTTTGGCTCATAAATACCCCAGAGGAAGCATCTGAGTGGTACTCTGAAAAGTCTAGGATGAAAACTTTGTTGTATAATATCTATTTGCTAAAGGTAATTACCATCACCTTTAGAATTCACATTTTGCCCCACAATGCTTTAACAATCATTGCAGTACACACAGAACAAGAATTTAACAAGAAAAAAACATCCTGAAAGAAGACAAGTAAGAGGTTAATGCAAAATCAGTTCTTAATTTCAAGAAATGCATGAGTTGGGTAATATCAAACCAAGTTTTAGAAGACAGTGGAGAAGAGGAAGAAATAAGAAGCATCATCAGCCTCTTATTTTTTTTCTTTCCTTTCTGATTTCTTTCATGATGACTCACTCACACTTTAGAGTACCTCACCAATAAGGGGCTCCAGGGCGTACTTGAAACGGCAAATCAAACAACATGGTAAAAAGAAAGAGGTTAGAATCATACCTTTTCCAAAATGAACTTGTTTAAGTACGGCATGTAGCCTTGGTTGGACACGGGCCCCTCATCATCATCCCTGAAGTGCTCTTCAAGGGCAACTGGATCATGTGGAACTTTAAGCACTGTGCACAGGTTATGGGAAAGGACCTGCAGGGGAAAGAGAGCAGTTTAAAGGCATCCACTAACCAGCACATGGCACCTTTACTGTCTGAACACAACTGGCTGTGTGTTCCCCTGCCCCACCATGCAGAGAGAAAGAGAATAAACTAGCAAATAAGGGGTACTGATCAGCTGCCAGCTCCCCACTTGTCTGTTACCCAGGAATGTCTCTCAATCCTCCTCAGTTTTGGTTCACTTCAAACAAGTCTCTCCTACAAGCCCACAATGAACCAGGCTCCATGCAGATCTGTGTCTATAACACTCCTTAGTCTTTTATTAGTTGGCCCACATTAAAAAGAAAAAGGAGGGAAAGAGCAAGAGAATGTGTTCAAAATTAAACTTCTCCCCAAAGAGAGCAGCCTCAGTCAGAGTCATAAGAGAAAGAACCTGGAGCTGGACAGTAGCAGCTGACGGGTTTGGACAAGGTGGCTGCCTGGGCCAATCACAACGTTGCTATGCTTTAATGTTCTCATTACTCAACAAAAAGGCCCAAGTTAATATGCAAATGTACCAAGTATTAATTAGTAATCAATAAAGTCCAAATATCTCTAAAATTCTATAATACTAGGCTAAGCTTTCAGTATAAAATTTCAGTACGTTTCAGCATTAAAAGGTATAAATGTAAAAAGAAAAAGAAATCAAGGATCCACTTTAGAAATGAGAAAAATTCATAGCAAAAATACCTCAAGAGTCACCAAAACGGTTGCAAATATTCTGTGGAAATTTGCATTCCACATATAAAGGGTTACTAGTCTTGACGATAACCTGAAGTGTACACATTAACACTCAGCTAGTTGAATTAACAGTGTGGGCTATTCTCAGTACTAATCTTGTTTCACATTAAATGAAAATTAAAAAATTAAACTTAAATTCCTCCCATTTCATTTGTGCATTCTAAACCGGTCAAATTACATAGCTAAGGCTGTACTTCCTTTAACAGAGAATCTTATTAGATATTAAATATGGTTAAAATATGCCCTATTTTTCTCAGTGCTACCCATTTAATCACTTAAAGAGCCACATCCATGTCAATGAAAACTTTCAATTCCACTAAGCAAGTCACTTTTTTCTGCATACATGTATTTCAGTTAAGTTTCTTTTAAGATTCAAAAAAATTTATTCTATAAAAAGAATATTTGCATATCTTCTTTCCACATTTGTTTTGTTTCTCAAAGCTTCATTTATGTGGAGATCCTTTTCTACACGCTCTACTGGTTTTAAGGAAGTCAGTAAAGTAAAGGAAGTAAATTCACAAATGGTTACAAATGAAGTAATGAAGACTTTTTTATCAGCCCCTACAAAGCAGGCTGTGTTTCTCAAGCAAACCCTCTATTTGCCAATAGCAGAGCACATGAAAAGAACACGCTGGAGCTTTTATTGAAGAATCTTGCACCACAGTGAGCAAAATCCTGAATAGATATTTCCTTCCTCTATTTACTTAGTAAAACCTATAGAGTAATTATCTAGCCCGAAAGAGATTTTCTGAGGATCAACTTCAAGAATGTGAAGTGCTTAAAAACTGTTAACGTACTACAGAAATATAAGTTTTAGAGAAATAAAAGGCATATTTTTCAGATAAGGCTCAAAGGTCATTCAATTTTTCAAATCATTTAGGACTCCACCCAAGTAAAAATTCCCAGCCATTGGTTGAACTATGGAACATCCATAAACCATTAGGAACAAAGAGGAAGCTCACTGTGTAGTGATATGAAAAGATCTTCAAGATAAATTAAGGTGAAAAAAAATGCAACACACCAAGACTACATACACTGTGCCATCTTTTATGTAAAAGAAAAAGGAAGAAAAAATAAGAAACTCTAGGAGGATATCTAAGAAACTAAAACAGTGGGGGAAAGTGTAGTCTGATGATAGACCTGGGAGGAAAATGACTTTTCATTGTTCCTCCCCCCATTTTCTATAAAAGTTTGGAGAAAACAAAAATTCACCTATTCAAAAATGTACTGCCTATTTTAAAAAATTAAATATATCAAGTAGCCAGCCTAAAATCACCCAGTTAAATCTATTTATCTTCAAAGTTTTTATTTTTTCTTCTACATTAACCTACTCACTAAAGATTAGATACAAAAGGAAGACATATTCCACAGCAACATGCCACGACCAATGGATGAGCGAGACATAAGGCCAATAAATGAGTTCAAAGAAGAAACGGTGCTACAGTGACTTCATACAAGAAGTGAAATGTAACCTATGTCTCAAAATAAGGAGAGCTTTTGGATAGGAAAGGGGGCTCTAGAAGGTTTTCCCAAGTAGGGAAATAACATGAAAAAAGCAGGTGATTAATGCAAAATCCTCAGGGTATAAAAAGGAGACACCAATCTCTTCCACTCCCACCTCTCCCTCAGCCTTTTGGGTTTCACAGACCTAACTAAACTTGGGTCTCAGGACAAACTAAAGTCCTGGCAGGGGCCTTGGATGCCATATTGTAATCCTCTCATCTTACAGGTGGTAAGATTAAATTTGTTTTTCTTGAGGAAGGTTCCTTAGCAGAACTGAGACTAGAACTCAGGTTTTGTGATCCCTGGTCCAAAACTCTCTAGTAATAAGGAACATCGGGTTTTTAGTTCTCTAAAGTCAACAACAATGGTTTTTGTATGTGTAGGTGCTTAGTTAGATTCAGTGATCCCACTGAAGATTTAGATTAGAACTTGAGACTTCAGCCTTGGCTAATTAAACAGCACTTTTTTTACACACAAAGATAGCTGAATTCAATGATAATTTTCTTTACTACCTTTATTTAGTTAAGCAAATTGTGAGGGCAGCAGCACACTATAGTAACAAGGACCCTGGAGGAGGAGACCTGAACCCAAGACTTGCATGTGGTCGGTTCCTGCTCAGTGGTTTGTCACTTACCCTTCTATAATATTTTAATGTTTTGCTACTTATTTGCTTAGTCCTGGTATTCTCACTACAAAATGAAGAGGTAGACCTTCTTTAAAAAATTTTTAAAGGTCAATTGTTAGCTGTCAACCCAAACTCATTTTAAGAATTCAGCAAAAAGAACTACAACTGAGATGAGAAATTCAGCTTTTTTCATGTTAGTAAGGCCTATAATAAGGAAGTCTTCTTCAAACAAAGTAACTACAAATTGAGTAACAGATAACTGGAGTAACTTAAAAATTTTTTATCAGTGATTTTTTAAAAACCTAGACAGTCTCTCAAAAAGTAAAATGTATAAAGAAACCAAAATCTTGAAGTTCAGAATATAAACTAGTAATAAGAAGCAAAAGCTCCATAAGCTTACACAATAGTTCATGCTTTTTACAGTAGACTCAAATCATCCATTAGTTGGTTTTAGTCTGGCCCCTGGGAAAGCAGATATTATTGCTATTTTACAGATGAAGAGGCTGAGTCACAGTTTAAGAGATGTGCCCTAAATCAGAGTCTTATGTGTAGTGAAATTGGGACTGGAACTCGAGTCTCATGCTTTGGTGTCCTTACCATCCTGTTCTACTTCGCTCTTTCTGGAAAAAGAGGGAGCCCTAACTATACAGAAGTGACTCCATGGCCAGGCACGCATGTTGCTGCTAAAGTGCAGTGATGTACTGGTGCTCCCCCACTCCACCCAGCCAGCTCTCCAGGCCCAACAGGATGGCTGGCATTATATAGCAGAGCCAAGTTAAATCCAGGGTGAAGAACTACATATGCCTAGAGATCTGGGACCATCTCTCTCTCTAGGAGTCCCCACATCCCAGCCCACACCTTTGCGGAAACCATCCCAGGCACACTAGCCTCCTCTCCAGATGAGGAAGCTGTAAAACAGATCAGGTCAAAAACAATCAGGAGGAAAGAGGACTACAAGTTCTTGAAACTGTTGAACTTATCCCACTTCAAATGCCTGCTCCTATAAAGGCAGTTCTTTTAGCGCCCACATGATTGCTAAGCAACTTAACTCTCATTCCCAATTTGAAGAATAAACTATTGTTATTACAATAACAAATCTATATCCATGCCAGAAACTCATCTTTCCAGCTCTTTCTTAGCCACCCGCAGCCTCACAGGGCCTGTGCTGACAAGAGATGACTAATTAACTGCATGAGCCCTGCTCCTGTGGTCTGTTCCTGCTCAGTGGTTTGCCATTTACCCTTTTCAGCATTTTGCTCCAACTATCATGAAAATGAAATCAAGGGTGATGAACGACTAAATGGTGTTTTAATACACAAGTGAACGATGTTCCCCCTCCTCCCTCCCAAAGATGCAGAGATTATAAAGGTCCTCTGAAATGTTCCCCCACCCTCCCAAGTTACAGTTTCCCTTTACAGGAAGTGCGTAATGGGCAAAATTCAACACTGAAAAACCGGTTGGGGGGGGTGGGTATCTCTACTCCAACAAGCTTATCTGAACCAGCACAATTATAGAATCATAATTCATAATAGGCCATCTTTTTTAAAAACATGAAAATTCCTGTCTGATTTACAAAATTTCAAGCTAATGGCAAATTACCAGAAAACTCTTCCTAACAATGAACCAGAATGACCAATTTCCTACCAGTGCTTTGCCCTGCCTTAAGAGCATTGTCCGAATAGAAGTCCTGCCCCTTACCACACAGAGTCATTTTCCCTTTCCTAACAATACCCTTCCATCCTGCTTGTCACTGCTTTCTTGCTTGTTTTCTCTTAAATTATCTTTATTGTACTCAGTCTCGGAAATCTCAAAGTTGACTCAGTCCCTGCACGCAATCAATCACCATCCTAGATACTTTTACCAAATTGATCTTCAAGTGCTGCTTACATCACATTACCCTCTTGTCTACAACTCATCTCATGCCTACAGAAGTAAAAACCAAGTACCTGAGCTCTGTGTTTTCATCACATGATAGGCCAAGCCCACTTTACCTTCCTAGCCTTATTTTGCCTCCTCTCTGCACCAATCACACAAACCCAGCCAAACAAGTTTATACACTGAACCCCAAACAAACTGTACCACCTGCCTTTCTCTTTCAGGCCGTTGTTCCAACCACCCCCCTCCAT